CTCTGTGCACCCCAGCAGCCCCCCCCCCCCAGCTGTATACTACTTTCCTTCCATTTTGAGGTCATATCTTGTTCTTATCAAATAAATATGAGAGAATTAGTTAACAACACTCTCATTTCCAAATGTCAGTTCAGAAATGTTTAGAAATAATCTTTAATGTTTGAGGGTTTTTTGGTTTTTTTTTGTTTTTTTTTTTTTTGGTCTTTTTAAGACAGGGTCTCCCTGTAACCCCAGATGCCCTGGAACTCACTATGTAGACCAGGCTGGCCTTGAACACACAGAGATCCGCCTGCCTCTGCCTCCCAAGTGCTGGGATCAGAGGTGTGCACCACCACGCCTGGCTTTGACATTTTTTTTTTTAAACCTAACATTAGAAAATTTTGCTATTTGAAAGATAGTTTTAAGTTCAAATTAATGTACCTGTGAGCAATGAGAATATTTCTGACTCATAAAAGCAAACTATTTTAGTTGAAATAAAATAGTCCTGTAATTCAAAGAGAAAGAGAAACAAGCTGAGGAAAACCTGATTAAGGATATCAGTGATCTTACAAAGATCATGGCCAGCCTGGTCGATACAGTGAGTTCTAGGCAAGGAATCTCTGTCTCAAAAAAAAGAGTTCAGCACAGAACTGTCGAAAAGACCCTGACTGTTGAAGGAACTGCTAATGTTTATGAGCACAAGAAACTAGTTAAGACATTTAAAAACAAATGTGCAATGATACTGTACTTGAATATCTGGAATATGGAGAAATAATTCAGTTATATTAAGACTAGTGCAAATTCCTGGTAGAGACTAGACTGGCTAAGGACAATAAGCTGAAAGTCCTCTGGGTTTAAGTGCTTATGACTCACTGAAGTGTAAGTGAAAATTTCCTTGCAACAATTAGTATTTCCCTCTATCTCTTTTACAAATTTTAAGTTTCAGAACTTATATAATTCTAATCACTTGGGGTCCTCTTAACTTGGACCTAGTATAATTCTTTCATGGAATAAATTGGAAGAATGAATAAAGATATAATTCTCAGTGGTCACATACTCTGATTGAGAAACAGACCTGTGAAATCCCAGCAGACATGAAGTGTTCATTACAACTTCAATTTTCATATGAGAGGACTGAGTACGTAAATAAATCATACAAAACCTTTTAGAGGTGGTCATTTATGGGGATTGGGGACATCAACTTTAATTTGCTATTTTCAGCATTTATGTAATAGCTGAACATTTTCATCTACTTCTCTTATGTACATTAATAATCACTCACGAGTTTTTTTAATGTGTATGAGTGTATTGCCTGCATGCATATGAGTGCACCAGTATTCTGAATTACGAGTATACTTTCTACTTAACAACTTCAGTATGAAAATTGAAGTTGTAGAAAAGCTTGGTCTATTAGGCTTTCATGTGTGTTACAAATACCTGAAGGAAAAGTTGAAAGGAGGAAAGGTTTATTTTGATTTCTAATTTCAGAGATTCTAGTCCAAGGTCAGCTAGAACTATTGCTTTAAGGTTAAGGCAAGGTGTAGACTATGAAGGCTGCAAGGAAACAGAAAAAGCCATGTGACAAGGTGTATCTCATCTCTCCAGGGCATTCCTCGAAAGATATGCTTTCTCCAGCTAGGACCCAGCTCCCATTGCTCTACCATACTATTAATCTATCAAGGGATTAATCTTTGATTAGGCCAGAGGCCTTAGGACCCCATCATTTCCCAAAAGTCCATCAGTCAGCAACTAAGCCTTTAACACACGATCACTAGGGAGACATTACATATATAAACCGGAACAAATGATTGCTGTGTCCTTTAACATAACCGTTCCTTCTTCTCTAGCATTTTTCCCAGTAATTATTTACTGGTTCCTCTTTCTCTTCTTAGTCCTTATAAACAGGTCTTTCTTAGGAGTCTCTTTTAACTGCCCCCACCTCCACACTTCAGTTTTGGGGGCTATGGTTTTTTTTGTACGTTTGATTTTGGCAGTATAGGGGATTAGGCCCAGGACCTCACATATATAAGGCAAGCACACTGCCATCTGAACTATTCAGCATCTTTAACCTAAGATGGGGTGTACTCTGGTCTTCCAGAATTTGTGCTCACCCTCCTGCTAGCACTTGATTGACTGTTCATTTACCCAGAAGATTTATTGAGAGATACTCTTGTGGCACAGTCCCTGTTCAAATAAAGCAAAATTAAAAAAACAAAAACAAAAGTTAGGCATGGTGGTGAATGCTTGTAATCCCAACATCCAGGAGGTAAAGGTAGGAGGATCAGAAGTTTAAGGTCAGCTTTGATACATGGGACCCTGTCTCTAAATAAATAAATCCCACTACTGTGAACATTACAGTCTAATGAGAGGTAAAATTAATAAGAACAGAAATAGTTCTGTAGGTTGGCAAGATGGCTCAACAGGTAAAGGCACTTGCTGTCAAGGCTGACACCTCAGTTCAGTCATTGGAATTCACGTGGGTTAATAGAAGGAGACAACCATTTTATGGCACATGCACGCCATGGTGCACACAGAATAAATGCAATAAAAATAGTTTTGTAGCATTTCCCTTATTTTACATGTTTTATACTATTTAAACATCGGAAGAACCTCTCTGTTAAACACTAATATCTTTATTTTACAGTGGAGGAATCTAATAAGGTCAAACAGTAGGTAAGATGAAGCCACAGTAGACCCTATAGCTCCTTCTCTGCTGTCTCTTGATTGCTGTGTGGCTTTGTATAAATGACTTAATCTGTTCTGTCATCTATAAAATGATGCTTTGAGAAAACTCATACAGTGCTTAGCACTATGGTAACCATTTCACGTATTGACATTTGTTATTGCTGCTTATTAGGCATGGTAATCATGGGTTTTTGATCCTTTTATAAAGCATCCAAAATCCTATTGTGGTTAAAAAAAAAATGGCTTAACAATTAAATGTGTTTTGTTTGCTTTGAGATGGGGTCTCACCATGTAACTGACTCACCTGCAATTCTTTGTAGACCAGGCTGACTTTAAACTCAGAGTTCCACCCACTTCTGCCTCCGGAATGCTGGGATTAAAGGTGTGAGCTGCAGGGAGCCTGGCCAGTTTAGTTGTTTTTTGTTTTTTGTTTTTGTTTTTTTGGTCTTTTTGAAGCAGGGTCTCCCTGTGGCCTCACCTGTCCTGGAACTCTCTATGTAAACCAGGCTGGCCTTGAACTCACAGAGATCTGCCTGCCTCTGCCTCCCGAGTGTTGGGACTACAGGCGTGCACCACCACGCCCGGCCAGTTCAGTGTTTTTTTTTTTTTAATTATTTTATTTTATTTTATTTTATTTTATGTGTATGAGTGTATTGCCTGTGTATGTGTATGTGAGTGCACCCGTGTTGTGCAATGCCACGGAAGTCAGAAGAGGGCTTTGGATTCCCATGGAACTGGAGTTAAGGACGGTTCGTAGCCGCCATATGGGTGCTGAGAATCGAACCCGGGTCCTCTGCAAGAGCAGTCAGTGCTCTTAACTGCTGAGCCATCTCTCTAGTCCCCAGTTTAGTTAGTTTTAAATCATTTGTCCCTGTTGGACTATTTTCATGGGTCCCAATAGGCAAGGCCCCACTCATTTAGAGAATGAGAATTCAGAAGACTGTCTCTAGTTTTTCCTTCTGAATTTCATCCTATATTTTCCATGGCTCTGTGGATATTTTAACCTAGATCTTAAATTCTTCACATTCTGTATCTGGTTGGTTGGTTGGTTGGTTGGTTGATTGGTTGAACTACCCCCTTCCTCTTTCTTCATTTGGGTAAAACTGTCCTCATGTGTCCTTTTGGTTGTTAGCTTTAGCCTTTAATGATTGTGCTATCCCTCCAGCCCATCATGTGTCCTTTTTAATTTGCCATTCTAACCTTTTTAGAGCTGCTCAGTTCTCTTTGCTACCAGCCCCTCCTGCTCTGCAGGTGTGGTATGCTACTGTGTACCCCCACTTTCACCTCACAGTTCTGTTGATCTTTTTCCAGATGTGCTCTAAATTCTCATGTGTCTTGCCTTATGCTTAGGATCCCTGACATGACCATAACTTCCTCCATTTTCTGTCACGACTTATCTTTTGGCACTTGATGCTGGTTATACAAGTATTTGTTGCCCACTCTGTACACACTTTGAGGCATTGACTTTGCATCTCAGTCATGCCTTCGTACATACCATGTTTCTTAAAACAGGAAAAAAAAAAAAAAACTTGGAAGTATTTACTGTTTCTTATCTGTAATGTTCTGATTGTTCTTTGTTCCTTATTAGATTAATCATCTTTTTCCAAGTTCTATGAGTTAATTTTTTTAATCAGTACCTTGGCGTACTTTGTTCATTTTGCTGATTGAAAAATTGGTAGCGTTGCTAGCTTGTGGAGGAACTGAGAGATGATACCCTGTCTCTTTAGTTCTAAAAAAACCCACTGGGTATGGTGGTACATATCTTTAACCCCAGCACTTAGGAGGCAGAGGCAGGCGAATCTCTGTGAGTTCAAGGCCAGCCTGGTCTATCTAGTGAGTTCCAGGACAGCTGGGGCTACAGGGAGACCCTGTCTCAAAAAAGACAAAAATTTTAAAAATCAAAGAAAAAAAAAAAAACCTGTTGACCGGGTGTGGTGGCACAGGCCTTTGGTCCCAGCACTTGGAAGGCAAAGGCAGATGGATTTCTGTGAGTTCCAGGCCTGCTGGAGCTACAGGGAGACCCTGTTTCAAAAAACCAAAAACCAAAATTATGTTCTTTATATTATAGCAGTTGTTTCATTTTTATTATTTAGTCTTTAGAACCAGTAATATAACTGAGTCCTGTGTGCATACATATTGAGGGACTTCACTGCTGAATTGATTCTTTTTTCTTTCTTTTTTTTTGTTAAGAGTGCTTTATTTTATTTTATTATTTATGTGTATGTGGGGTTGGATGTGTGTTCATATATTGCACCACAATGTATGTGAGGGTGCCTAGAGACCAGTAGAGTGTCAGATTCCCCTGGAACTAGAGTTATAGGCAGCTGACAGTTTCCCCATGTAGGTGTTAGGAACTGAACTCTGGTCCTTTTAAAGGCCTGCAAGTGCTCTTAACTGCTGAGCCATCTCCCTAGCCATGCTTCACGATTCTTTAAGATTAAAGATTGCTTTTACTAGAGATTGTGTCATTGCTGTTTTTACATTTTGGCTGTATGGCTTATGTTGGAAGTAAATAAAGCAGTACATACATACCTTGAATGAAGAGAATAATATCCTTTAACATATGGTTGCAGTTTCTCAGGATTCTCAGATTTCTAGCTTTTTTTTTCTTTTTTTCTTTTTCTTTTTTTTTTTTTTTTGGGCTTTTTGAGACAGGGTCTCCTTGTAGCCCCAGCTGTTCTGGAACTCACTGTAGACCACGCTGGCCTTGAACTCACAGAGATCTGCCTGCCTCTGCCTGCCTCTGCCTCCCAAGTGCTGGGATTAAAGGCATGCGCCACCATGCCCGGCTTCTAGCATTTTTATAAGTTAACCATAGAATTTATTCACTTAAGTGATATGTACAGGTATCAGCTACATACCAAAGACAACATCTATCCTAAAGATGATTTCAGTGTAGATCCATTTTAATCCTTTATTACACGTGGGGCTATAGCTGTGGACTAATCTGCTCCTAACCCTCACCAGTCTGCCACGTTGCCTTGTACGTTGATTGCATGTTTAGAGTTACTTAGGTACGATGGAAGTTCATTTAATTGCACTCTAACTCATTCAAAATTAGTTAGATGAGGGGTATAGCTCAGTGTTAGAACATTTGCCCAGCATATTGGAGGCCTTGGGTTACATCTTAAACCCTGCAATCAGTTACTCAAATGAATGAATGACGGATGAATGAGTGACCCTACAACAAATGAATGGTCTGGGCTTGCCTCTCCATGTTTTATCTTTTATTTTACCCTGTGCTATCATTGAGCCAAATGTAAAAATTGTTGGAAGCGTATATTTGATTTTTTTTTTCCCCCCGTGTAGCATTTTGTAGTATGGACTACTGCCCACTTTTTACTCAGTCATTGAGGCACAACAAACTGTGATTTGCAGGTACTTTCTTGATTGCCCTTTTTTCTGGAACTTTTTTTGTGTTGACTTGAGCTGGTTGGCTGCCCAGAGATGACACAGACTTCTCCACTTTCATGGATCCCCCATGATCTATGTGAGATAGGGCCTCTCTTTCTGTTATAGAAACTAAAAGAGACAAATTCCCTTTTCTGACATCCTTTGCAACTAGAAGATGCCCATCCAGAGACTCTCACTTGTGGATTTTTACTCTGGTTTCTTATACATTATATGTGGCTACTATAGCCACTTTTGGTAATGCCCACAAAGCCATGGTAACAAAGACAGTATCAGAAGCTGTGAACCAAGGTGGCTCCTTGGGAGAAAACCCTGCCTGTACTTTATAATTATTGTCAGTAGTTATCTCTGCCTAATTTTCCATCTCTCAGCTCTGAAAGCTGCCTGGTATTTCAAACAGTTCCTTTTCTTCCCAAATAAAATAAGATATTTTAATCATATGCAGCCAAAATTCTGTCAAGTACAAACTAGATTTTGAACTTAAACATGTTTGAAGTCTTTACTTATCAGGACCTGATGCATTCACTGTATTAGTGCATTCCAGCAGCATCCTTGAAGAAGCTTTGTCTCAGGCCATCTTTTCAGGCTCCTTTCCCTGATTATTTGCTCCTGTTTTGTTGTTACAGGGTCCACTTCCTAATACATGTTGCCACTTCTGGCTCATGGTATGGCAGCAAAAAACCAAAGCAGTTGTCATGTTAAACCAAATTGTAGAGAAAGAATCGGTGAGTAATATTTAATATTTTTGGTTTATTGTACTGCATGTGATCATTAGCTTAAAATTTTCATTTTGGAGGGTTATGAATTCATTAGTTTGGGCCTTAAATTGCTAAAGATTAATATATCATTTTCCTTCCCTTTTTATTAAAATTTTTTCCCCTTTTATAGCTTCATGGTGCTACATATTCATACTGTGCTACGTAAGGACATTCTCATACAAGTATAAGTGATATGCTGAGCAGGTTCCCTACCATTCCTCCCCTCTCCCCTCCTTTTAGCCTTTTAGCCTTTTGTTCTCTGGACAGTTTTACTTCTACTTTCATGTCGTACATACATCCTACATATTATACAGATACAAAGAGAAAACACTATATTTGTCTCTCTGAGACTGTCATAGCTCACTTGATATGATTAGCTTCAGTTGCATCCATATTCCTACAAGAGACATAACTTTGCTCTTTATGCTTGGAAAAAAGTTCCATTTTGTATATGTACCACATTTTATCCGTTCCTTTGTTTTTGGACATCTGGGTTGGTTCCATAAGCTAGCTTTTGTGAATAATGCCACAGTAAACATTCATGTGTAAGTATCTCTGTGATATGTTGACTTAAGAGATCTTTGGGTAAATACCCAGAAGTAGTAAAGCTGGGTCATGTGGTAGCTCTACTTTCAGTTTTCACAAATGACAAATGAGAGAGAACATACGTCCCTTGTTTTTCTAAGTCTGTTACTTGTTTTCTTAATGACTACCATTCTGACTGGAGTGCGATAAAATCTCAAGGTCTTGATTTGCATTTCTCTGCTAAGGTTGAATATTAGCCCATTTATTAGTTGGGTTGTTTGATGGTTTTTTTTTCATTTGTTTAGTGTTTTTGAATTCTTTGTATAGTCTAGATACTAATCTTCTGTCAGGTATTTAGCTAAAGATTTTTCTCCTGTCCTGTAGGCTGTTTCTTCACTTAACTGCTTTTCTTTTCTTTTCTTTTTTTTTTTTTTGCACAGAATTGGATGGGGTCATTAAGATTTTAATATTTCTCTGAAGAATAACATTGAAAATTTGATGATCTGTAGATTACTTTTGATAATATAATCTTGTTTGTTTGTTTTAGAGTTTTGTTTGGGGGTTTTTTTTGGTCTTTTTTTTTTTTTTTTTTTTTTTGAGACAGGGTCTCCCTATAGCCCCAGAGATCTTGGAACTCACTTTGTAGACCAGGCTGGCCTTCGTTTCGTTTGTTTCTTTTTGTTTTGCAGTACTGAGGATTGAACCTGAGGTCTCATG